GCACAACATCCCGCTTCATCTCGCCTCCTAGTCTCGCCTCATCTCGCCTCATCTCGCCTCACCTCGCTTCATCTCGCCTCACCTCGCTTCATCTCGCCTCACCTCGCCTCATCTCGCCTCACACCTCGCCTCATCTCGCCTCACCCGCTCGCCTCATCTCGCCTCACCTCGCCTCATCTCGCCGAGGTACACCTCGCCTCATCTCGCCTCATCTCGCCTCACCTCGCCTCATCTCGCCTCATCTCGCCTCATCTCGCCTCATCTCGCCTCATCTCGCCACTCGCCTCATCTCGCCTCATCTCGCCTCACCTCGCCTCATCTCGCCTCATCTCGCCTCATCTCGCCTCACCTCGCCTCATCTCGCCTCATCTCGCCGCATCGCCCCTCACCTCGCCTCACCTCGCCTCATCTCGCCTCATCTCGCCCCACATTTTTTTCTTTTCTAGACCACTCCGAGACCGACCCAAGACCGACCCGAGACCCGAGATCGACCCGAGATCGACCCGAGATCGACCCGAGATCGACCCGAGATCGACTCGAGATCGACCCGAGATCGACCCGAGATCGACCCGAGATCGGCACGAGCGATCAACCCAACAATGCCCCAGAGCCCCCTCCGGGGGGACCCCCCCTCACCCCGAGTGTCCGTGTCCTTCGCGAGTCACCGATGGGGAGCGGGGGGGGGTGCGAGATGCACAGGGGAGGCTGGGGAGGGGGGGGTCCACTCTGAAGACTGCCGACCGCGGGGGGGTTTTGTCCCACAGGGTTTTACCCTCCGCGTGAGGATCGGCGCGGCGAGGGGGTAGGTTCGAATTCGCCGCGCAACATTTCACCCCCACAGGACCCCGCCCACCCCCCCTCATGGTCCCACCTAGTACCCCAATGAGCCTTCGCACCCCCTCCTTGCGCAGTGTCCCCCACTATGTGTCGCCGTTATCGGGGCACGCTATCCTGTGTAGTCAGGGCAAGTGGGTCAGCATCTCCTCGCCATGCGAAGGGGCGGCGGGCGGGACCGGCCGCGTGTCGGGAATGCCGACGTTTCATGCCACCTTTTGAGGACTTCGACCATCCGCCCGCGCCTCTTTCCCCCGCCAGTAGGCTCGGCGCTCCGGTCTTATCTTGCGTCCCATTTGCGTTGCTGCCTGGAGCTCTCCGGGTTCTCCATCCATTCGAAGACCCGCGCCTCTCACCTTGTGTGTGAGTGTGAGAGAGATTTAAACCAACTCTCCTTCGTTTGTGTACGCAATAGATGAGGAGATTCACCCTTAGGATTCTTTGCCGTCGTCCCTGGGCAGGGGCGATTGTGAACGGCGTGTCGTCTCATCAACGAACCGCCACCTAATGTTGCTGAGGATCCTCCTCGTCTCCCTCGCCGTCGCCCAGGCAAAGGACGTGCCGAACGGCCACGAGATCGAGGCGCCCGGCCTCGCAAGCAGCCAGACCAGTTGGGTCGACCTCACCCGCAAAATCACAATGGTGATGAAGAACGGTGCCGGCGACGACCACGTCGCGCTCGCGGTCACAGGCCACCGCCGCAAGCTGGACCATGACGAATGCGCCGATGGCTCGTCGGTTTTGGACTATGTGAGTCCCGGCGTACGGCCCTCCCTGCACGCGCGCCGGCGCTCGGCCTCCCCCTCTAAGTTGACTCTCACCTCGGCAAAACTCCCGTACGCGACTCTTACTCCTGCACCGCCTCCCCATCGGTAGAACCACGGCTCCTGCGGGATCTTCTGGAAGAAGTCGCACTGCTGGTATGAATTCGCCGACACGCCTAAGGCGAACGATCCCATGCTCGCCTACCTTCGTGACGAAGAAGTGTGCCTTTCACCGTTCTGGGCGAACGCGAACGACGTTTGCTGCGTCACCGACACCGGCGCGGTCGTGGGAGCAGCCGTCGGCGGTGCCGTGGGCCTTCTCCTCGTCGTGGGCGCCATCCTCTACTGCTCCATCTTCCTCGCATGCTGCGCATGCTGCCCGTGCAACAAGAAGAAGGGCCAGGCCTAGTAAGGGCCAGAGGGCGAAGGCTCTTTCTGCATGTCAGCAGCGGGTCGCGCTTAACCCCACGAGAGAGATACTGTTCGCGGTGTTGTGGCGTTGCCAGGGGAAGGGCCACGGTCTAGCTTGGTCATCGCACGGCTCGGCCCGGAATGAATCTTGAATGTTGACGGCAGGGATGACCAGAAAGAAAGAAAGAAAACAGAAACGCCAGAAAGAAAGAAAACAGAGAACCCAGTGCAGGCGCTCCTTATTTTTTTTTTTGAGCTTAGCCTTCGATGTTATGAAAACAAACGCAAGGCGGACATGGCATATCGCTCTCGGGCTCACGGACATCCCTCACACCCGCCGCACACCCGCCGCCCCCGCGCGCGCCCCACCCCGGCCGGGAGAAAGGGGAGTGACAGTTTGGGATTGCAAGCCCGAGTATGTTGAGTCCTGGCTCAACAACGCAGATAACAAGAGGGGGTGGTCCGGCTCACAGGTCCGGCTCACGCGCCTCGAGCTCGCCAATCTACCGCACTGAACACTTCCGCCCCCTCGCTCCCAACCCACCCACCTCGCCGACCGCAGAACCGCGCGATCTCGGGCGATCTCGGGCCGCGCCGCGCGATCTCGGGCGATCTCGCGCTATCTCGGAGCTCCACGCCACGCCGCCCCCCCCCCCCCCCACCTCACCCACCGCCGCGCCGCGCCATCTCGGGCGATCTCGGAGCGTCGCTCGCGCGGCGTCACACCTGCTCAAAAAAAAAGGAAGGGCCTGGTTGGAGCCACGGGGCTCACGAGGACGTGCTCGCTCGGTTCTCGCCGCCTCGCCCTGCGCCACTTGGGCCGGTGAGGCGGCGCCCCGCGCGGCGCGTCATTTTTTTTGGTGCCAACGCTGTTCCTTTGCGCTTTACGCCTCCGCAGTCGATGCATCTCGTTTGCCTCGCGCTCGCCTTCTCGCCGATACTGCCAGTGACAGTAGTAGCGCCGCGCTGCGCTGCTCCGCGGGCTGGGCTGCTCGACAACATAGTCGTCGGCCTCTCCGACAGCGTCTCGGGTGCTTTTGGCGGGAAGGCGATGGGCAAGGTCATGGGCTACTCGAAAGACGACCGACTCGCGAGGGCGTCGCACATCCTGCTGTCCTTCGACGCCTACCCGGAGGGGAGCTCGCCCGACTCCGAGGCGATGGCGAACGGGCTAAAGGCAAAGATCGAAGGCGGCGACTTCACGTTTGAGTTTGCGGCGGAGAAGTTCTCCGCCTGCCAGTCGGCCGAGCGCGGTGGCGACCTGGGCGAGTTCAAGCGCGGCGCCATGGTGCCGGCGTTCGACGAGGCCGTCTTCAAAGTCGTGGAGGACGAGCCGCTCGGCACGATCTTAGGCCCGGTCAAGACGCAGTTCGGCCATCACTTGATCAAGGTGGTGCAGCGGGGAGAGCCATGAGGCGGGTGTCGCGGGACCGGCCGAGCGCTTGGATTGCATTCGGAGCAGGAGAGCAGTCGTGGCTTCGTTTGGATGCACAACGCGTTGAGAAGGCGGTGCGCTAGCCGGCGGCTCTCGCGGCAAATTCCCACCTTTCTCATCGCCCGCTCTGCGCGTCTGCGGCATGCTCAACCCTACAGTAGCTCTGCCCCACCCCCATGGCATGTTCTGTACCGCCGGCGCGCTCCGCATGTCTGAGAGAGATAACATGATCTCTACCCCGTGCCGCACAACTCTGTACAGTCATCCAGTACGCTCTCTCTCACTCTCTTGTTTGTGCTTGCACCCCGCTCCACTGGCACTGCCGCACTGCTCTGCAATGTGCAAAGCCGTACAGTCTACAGATCCGTCGGTGTACTAAATGTGACGCTCCACAGTGTCCAGAACTGACTTTTGATTACACAACACACACACACGTCACACCCTTGTTTCGTACGCTCGTAGATCGTACATATCTCGTACTTCGTACATGAGCATCACAACCCATCTCCCCCATCAACTCCATGAACCATATCATGCGACACCGGTACAGGCACGGTACGGCTCGCTGTGGTAGGGCACCGGGGCACCGCACGCCTCTAATATGCGTCACGACGACAGGTTGGGCACCACCTCTATGACAGTGAAGTTGCACGCGCCCACCAGCAGCGTCTGCCGCTTGTCGGTGGGCTGGACGTACGTCAGCGGCGGGAAGAGCACCTCCGCCTCGCGCGGGAAGGCGGAGACCCACTGCAGCGACGCGCCGCGCACGAGCGAGTTGTCGACGCGGATCTTGAAGAGCAGCGTGCCCGACGAGGCGCCGTAGCGCGCCGCGACGGTCATGTCGGTGGTCGCGGACATGGGCGCGAGCTCGGTGCCGCCGGTGCGGTTGTCGATGAAGTCGCTCGAGAGCTGCATGTTGCGCATGCCCCTCCAGAGGTCCTCGGTCTCGGTCGCCGTCGTCGAGTCGGCGTGCACCGCGCGCAGCTTGCGCACGGCCTCCGAGATGAACCAAGTGGTGCGCGCCAGCGGGTGCGGACCTTCCGGCTTGCGGAGCGGGCCGTTGATGTGCCGGTACGCCGCCTGCGGGGAGGGCTCCGGGAAGGGTCCGAGAAAGCTCCACGGCGGCTGAGAACGCCGGGACTCCGCGGCTGAGGCACCGTCGTGTACAGCCGCAATGCGACGACGTGCGGCTCGTCGAGCATCGCCTTTTACCCGAGATTGCCCGAGATTACCCGAGATTGATTGCCCGAGATTGCCCGAGATTGCCCGAGATACGACGTGCGGCTCGTCGAGCATCGCCTTTTGCGCGTCGGCGTGCGCGACGAAGTCGGCGAGCCGCTCGCCGCTGCGGCCGGCGTCGCGCGTGCCGTTGGGGTACTCCTTCTCCGAGGCCGGGTCGTGCAAGATGTACTGCAGCATCGACAGCGCCTCGGCGTCGCCCAGCGCGCGCACCTCGACGCAGCAGCGGAAGCCGTCGCACCCCGAGAGTACCCGAGATTACCCGAGATTGCGCGAGATTGCGCGAGACTGCGCGAGATCGCACCTCCTCCTCGATGGCGGCGGTGCCCATCGCGACGCCCTGCCGGATGTGCTCCTCGCTCACGCGCATGTAGTGCTGCAGGCCGTGCGCCGCCTCGAGCAGCGTGCCGGTCACCAAGTCGGATGCCTGCTCACAGACGCGCCGCCGTTGGCTCGCGACGCCCCCCCCGCTTTTGAAAGCGGCCGGCGGCGTGGCGCGAGGGTCGCCGAGCTGCTGAAGCGGCTCTCGAGCGGCGTCTGGCTCGCGCCCTCGGCGGCGGTCGCTTTCGCCACCTCACGCATCACCTTGCGGATCTCGCCCCGGTCGAGCAGCTCGTCGCCTATCATCTCGAGGGATCTCGGGGTGAACCTCGGGCAATCTCGCGTGATCTCGGGCCGTCTCGGGCGGGGCGCGGCGCCCTCGACCGCCGCAACCGCGGCGGGCAGCCGCCCCCGCTCCTCCGGGGGCACCGCCCCCAACGTCCAGTACGACGCACTGCAACGGCTTGGCAACGTTCCACCCCTCCCTGGAAAGCTCCGGTCCGGCGGCCCGAGGTGGGCGAGAAAGCCACCCCTCCGGGTAGCCACGCGCACCCTCGTCCAACCGCTGCGCCTTTCTGCGGCGCCGCCTACCCGATCACGGGCATGGCCCGGTTTGCCACCCGCCGACAAAGACTCAAACCCC